AACTTCTAAGCCAAGGATGATTGGGAAGATCAATAGGTATTTTAATCCTGATTGGTATGAGAAGTATGTTGGTAATTGGCTGGAGTATAGTGAGGCAGAGGACAACGCATATTGCTTGTGTTGCTATTTATTCAGGGACAACATCAAAGGTAACAAACATGGGCATGATGCATTTGCAGTAGATGGCTTTCGCAATTGGAACAAGCCAGAAAGATTTGTGACTCATGTAGGTGATAGCAACAGTAAAAATTTCATGAACCATAACCTTATCTGCTCTGCAGAAAAAGAATTGTGGAACGAAATTCCAAATGAAGTCATAGTTAAATGTTTTCATGCGTTGAAAGACCATCATGGGATGAAACGGAAGGTAATGCTCTTCCTAAAGCTCTTGCCTTTTTTAATACCGGCCTTCAACATTTGCACTTCCTCTCAATTTGGATCATGTTTTTTATTGTTGTTGCAGGTTGTAGATTAGAGTGTTAGAACAATGTGTCAATGTGCTCTTTTGCAACTTCATAACAAGTTATTGTATCTCAAATGGTTAGTTTCCTTTTTACTTTTCAATGAACTTGGTTACCATGTGGATAATAAAGAGATTATCTCTGCATTTTAGTTTACATGGATGTTTTTGCCTTGTTGGTTTATGAATATCGCCATACATTTTTGCCCCCTCTCAATTATTTTCTTAGGTCCGCCCATGTGTTCTACCGCTCGACGCGATACTGTTTCATGCGCATAATGCGCAACATCATATTCTCGCCGTTCTACAAGGTAAGGAGACATATACCATTTTTTATTCAATGAATTGTCATGAACATATGTTTGATGGTAGGCCTGCCTTGCGTTCCAGGTTCTGATAGCCGATTTCTTCATGGCTGATCAGTTAACTAGCCAGGTAACTATTACATTTCCACAATTATCCTACAACCTAGGGTTCTTAAAATGCAAGTTCTTATAAGCTAAACTTGTATATGTTCCAGTTCCCATTGTTAAGACACGTGGAGTTTGCGGCGTGCTACTTCATGGCAGGAAGCTTTAGGGCTAACCCATATGAGATGTGTACTAACAGCAAGCAGTACAAACACCTGGCCTATGTGATCTCTTTTCTCCCCTACTACTGGAGAGCTATGCAGGTATAAATCAAATCGATACACGAACAATCGTAAGATTTCAAGTTATCAGAATCAGCTTCAAACTAAACTTTGTGGACATTTATTACAGTGTTTAAGAAGGTAATTTGAGGAAGATGACACGAATCAGCTCGCCAACGCCGGGAAGTACGTGTCGGCGATGGTCGCAGCTGCTGTTAGGTTCAAGTACAGTGCAACGCCGACACCATTCTGGGTGTGGATGGTCCTCATCTCATCCTCATGCGCCACCGTCTACCAGCTCTACTGGGACTTTGTCAAGGATTGGGGCTTTTTCACTCCCAAATCTAAGAACCTATGGCTTCGGGATGATCTCATCCTGAAGAACAAGTTCACCTACTACATTTCTATGGTATTTTACTTTGTTCAAGTGATTTATAGTGCATCATTTACACAGAAAAGACAGGCTTCAGGAGCACTAATCCCTTCGCAAATGCAGATGCTAAATCTAGTGCTTCGGCTGGCATGGACTGAAAGTGTGATGAAGATCCGTGTTAGCAAGAACGAGACTCGCCTACTGGATTTCTCTCTTGCCTCCTTGGGAATAATCCGACGAGGGCACTGGAATTTCTACAGGTATTTGAGATTAGCATAAAGCTGGAAATATCTTCGATTTAACGTTTTGGTTATAACTCGGGTTGACTGGATTGCAGGCTGGAGAACGAACACTTGAACAATGTTGGCAAGTTCAGAGCAGTGAAGACTGTCCCATTGCCATTTCGTGAACTCGAAACGGATTGATGATTAAGACGGAGAGAAGAGTGTAAGAGCGTGCTCCCCGAGTCACTCCGCGCAACCGCCGCCGGCACAGCTGCCATTGCCCAGACCAGCTCCAGAGAGTGCTCCCTGGGCGAGTAGCTCGCTCGTGACGCCCCAGGCACTCGCGGTGCAGCAGGGGACCCCAAGCTTGGGGCCACCATCCAATTAGTGCAGGAGGTGCTAGACACAGAAGTCAGGAAAACATTGCACACTGATAACAGTAGATTGTTAGGCACCAATTAGTGCAAACCACTAATATGGGGATCAATTGGTATACCATCCAATGTGATGGTAATGGATTGAAGTACAGCGAACTAAAGAAGAAAAGAGGTATAAGTGCATCAGAGACTTGATTTGGCATCATCGTTTTGATGTCCTGAAGTGGAATCCGAGTAAAGCCATCTTTTGCTAAGCCACCAATAACTCACGAAGGAGTTCCACAAAGACAAACAATGACAGAAAGTGTAAGACGATAGTAACTGATGTTCATAGTGAGCAAGACGGTAAGAAGAGGACTCTAGAAATTCTTTTATATAAGGCATACCTGGTCAGGCTGTGCAACATCTGAAAAGAATAAACCAACCATGCCAACTAGCAATAGCATCCTCAATGATGGTAATCACATTAGTCCTCTTGTTCACTCCGGTGAGAGAATTCCACAACATAGAGCAACTAAGTCTGCAAGTAATGGTCTTCGTCAAGAAAAAACACACAAAGTGGAAGTCACTTAGCAATAAAAAGGGAAGTTGCGGTGAGATCTCACCGGACACCTGTCCAACAATATCACACATGGGACAAGGTTGTTCCGGAGGCAGCTCTGAGGTACAGCACACGAGTTCCAGGAGCCCGAAACAGCGTCAAATACTACAACCTTGGACCCGTCCTCATTCTATATAGTACTACCAAAACAGTAATGAACATCATTCCACATGTGCTAGAAGCATAACACCAGCATTGCCACCCAAAAAATGCATCAAATAGTAATGAACATCAATTCCCCGCGTGCAAGAAGCATAACCGAGTAGTATAATCTAACAACAGAACCCAATGAAGATGACAAAGAACTAGTGACCCCGCTAAATTTAAGCTAGTTTAACATTTGCTTATCCATCTGGTAGGACTAGGGTTCCTACCGACCCTGCTCCTTAGGTTGTAGGGGCAGGACAGCGAGGGTTGGGGCCGAGGGCGGCGGCTCCGGCGCGTTGGCGCCGTCACGAGGGAGGAGAAGGGCGGCGGCGGCTAGGGCAAGGTGCGGCTAGGGTTTCCGGCTCCAGAGCCGGGCAATATGATAGAACTATCTTTATTGCTTAATCTCAAAGGGTATCTTACAATCTAATATTTATAACTTGAAAACGACTAGCCTAAGATAACTTGTGGGCCAAGCCCCTAATTTACTGCCCAGCGGGCCTCCTCCGGGTATATTGTAAACCGGTCATAACATCTCTCCCCGCCTGCACAAACATCTCGTCCTCGAGCTGAAAGTCTGGATAGTGGCGGCGGAAATCATCACGTGGCTCCCAAGTAGCCTCCTCCACCGGAAGACCCGCCCACTGGATCAAGACGAACCACACCCCGCGACGAAGTTGCGCCTTCAACACCTTCTCTGGCTCCGGAAGAAGACGTCCTTTGGCGGTCGGAGGAAGCGCGGGTGGAGCCGCCGGTGGCTCTCCACGAAAAGGCTTGAGCAGCCCCACATGAAACACATCGTGGATGCGAGAGCCGTCCGGAAGCTGAAGGCGATAGGTCACCTGCCCGATGCGCTCCAAGATGGCGAAGGGTCCCGCGTAGCGAGGACCGAGTTTGCGCTTCGGGCGCGGGTCGAGTGACTGCGTAGAGCGGTGGAGAAGACGCAGCCACACCCAATCACCCACCGCGAACTCCGCCTCACGATGGTGGTCGTCGTAGTAATGCTTCGCCAACTGCTGAGCCTGAAGGAGACGCTGACGGACCTCAGCAAGCATCTCGTCACGGGTGCGAATAAGATCGCTTGCGGCCTCCGTCCGAGCCGTAGCCGGGTCCACCGGCAAGATAGGCGGAGGTGGCCGCCCGTAAACCACCTCAAATGGTGTCGCACGCAGGGCGGAGTGGTAGGATGTGCTGTAGCAGTACTCCGCCCATGCGAGCCAATCCACCCAAGCGCGAGGCCGATCACCTGTAACACAGCGTAAATACATGGCAATCACCTTGTTAACCACCTCATATTGGCCTTCCGTCTGGGGGTGGAAGGCCGTGCCGAAGCGGAGCTTTACTCCCGCCATCCTAAAGAGGTCGCGCCAGACATGGCCCGTGAACACCGTGTCGCGATCACTGACGATTGAAGAAGGGAACCCGTGCAGACGGACAATACCGTCGAAGAAGGCATGGGCCATGGACGCGGCGGTGTAGGGATGCCCCAGCGCGATGAAGTGAGCATACTTAGAAAAGCGGTCGACCACCGTGAGAATGACCGACTTGCCTCCCACCTTGGGAAGCCCCTCGATGAAGTCCATGGAGATATCGGCCCAGACCAGAGACGGCACATCCAGGGGCTGAAGAAGACCAGCTGGTCGTAGCGTCTCCGTCTTGTTGCGCTGGCATGTCGCACAAGAGCGCACCCAATCGCGAACCAGGGCATGATCACCAGGAATGTAGAAGTCGGCGGGAGACGATGGAGGGTTTTCTGCACACCCTCATGGCCAGCCGAGTGGGCTAGCAGCAAGACCTGGTGATGGAGATCATCATGTGCTGGCACGAAGACACGGCGCCCATGGACGAGCAGACCGTCGGAGAGGCGCCAGGGCTCCTCCAGGTCGCCGGCTGCGAGCTGCCGCTGTAGGAGAACCGCGTCGGCTGCGGTCGTCGTGGCCCGGCGAATGTCGTCGAAGAGGCTGAAAGTCGGCCCTGAGCGGATGCAGAGCGCCATCTCCTCGGAGTTGCCGGTGACGGAGTCGTTGTCGGCATCGCGGCGGGATAAAGCATCGGCCACGGTGTTAAGACGACCCGGGCGGTACTCGACGGAGAAATCGAAGCCGAAGAGCTTGCTAATCCACTGGTGTTGTGGCACGGTCGAGAGCCTCTGATCCAGCAAGAACTTTAGGCTGTAGTGGTCTGTGCGAATCTGGAAAGACCGGCCCCATAGATAGGGCCGCCAATGGTGCACTGCCTGCACCAAGCCAATGAGCTCCCGCTCGTACGCCGCGAGCTTGAGATGGCGCGGGGCGAAAGGCCGGCTGAAGAAGGCGAGAGGGCCATCGCCCTGACGGAGCACGGCACCGAACCCCACACCCGAGGCATCACAGTCTACCACGAACGGGCGGTCGAAGTCCGGCATCTGAAGAACGGGCCCCGTCGTGAGGGCCCCCTTGAGGGCCTCAAAAGCTGTCATCGCCTCCTCGTCCTAGGCGAAGGCGTCGCGGCGCAACAACCGCATGAGTGGCGAAGCGATGATGCCAAACTTCCGGATGAACTTCCGGTAGTATCCCGCAAGGCCGAGAAACCCGCGAAGGGCCCGCGGAGACTGGGGCGTCGGCCAGGCAGCGACGGCGGCCACCTTGTCGGCATCCATAGCGACCCCGTCGGCCGAGATTACGTGGCTGAGGTAGGCCACTGAAGGCGTCCCGAATGAGCACTTCGAGCGCTTAAGATGAAGATGGTGCGCCCGAAGCTAGTTGAAGACGATGGTGACATGCTGTAGGTGCTCTGCCCAAGACGCACTGTAGATCAGAATATCATCAAAGAAAACGAGCACAAACCGACGTAAGTAGGGCCGTAGGATGCCGTTCATCACAGCCTGGAAGGTCGCCGGTGCGTTGGTGAGGCCAAAGGGCATCACCAAGAACTCGAAGTGGCCGTGGTGAGTCCGAAACGCCGTCTTGGCGATGTCATCCGGGTGCATGCGCACCTGGTGGTACCCGGACCGGAGGTCGAGCTTGGTGAAGAAGCGTGCCCCGTGTAGCTCATCGAGGAGCTCGTCGACCACCAGAATAGGGAACTTTTCCTTAAGTGTGACAGCATTAAGGGCACGATAGTCGATGCAGAAACGCCAGGTGCCGTCTGACTTGCGGACGAGAAGCACAGGCGCTGTAAACGGCGAGGTGAAGAGCCGGATGATGCCTGTCGCGAGCATGAGCGCACACTGCCGCTCCAACTCATCCTTCTGCAACTGCGGATAGCGGTAAGGGCGGACCGCCACCGGCGCGGAGCCTGGCAGAAGATGTATACGGTGATCATACATGCGGGCGGGTGGCAGCCCCTGTGGCTCGGTGAAGATGTCATCGTGCTGCTGTAGGAGGCTCTCCAAGAGTGGGTGCTCGACCGTGGCTGTGGTCGCGGCCAACGGAGTGGTGGTGTGGGTGTGGCACCCCCAATGTCGTCCCACCGATTGCGGCGGCCCAACCGCCAGAAGGTCATCGTCAGCGCGTCGAAATCCCAGAGAATAGGACCAAGAGTGCGCAAGAAGTCGACGCCGAGGATGAAGTCGAAGCAGCCCAAGTCGATGCCGGCGCAGGTGATGGTGAAGTGCTCGTCGCCGATAGTGATGGGCACGTCGCGGGCGAGCCCGTGGCAGTGGAGACGGTCGCCATTAGCGACTGTGACGCGCAACTGCTCCTCGCCCATTGGCTGTAGTGCAAGGCGCCGCATGATGGTCTCCGGTAGGAAATTATGCGTGGACCCTGTGTCCACGAGGGCCACTAGGCGCTCGCCCTGGATCATGACCGTTAAGAGCATTGTCCGTTAATCATGGATGCCGGCCAGCGCGTGAAGGGATACCACGAGGGCGGTGGCCGGGGCGGGCGCGGGTGCCGCTGCGGGCTCCGTAAGGGCTGGGGCACCGAGGCCATCCTCCGGAGTGGCATCCTTGGTCTCGTCTGTCGTCTCCAAGTAGAAGAGGTGCGGACAGACATGGCCCGGTGCATAGGGCGCATCACAGTTGAAGCACAAGCCCAGGCGCCGGCATTCCAGCTGTTCCGCCTGAGTAAGGTGCCTGAACGGCCGCGTCGGTG